GTTCATATATTTAGTACCCATCTTAAGTCTAGGAATGCCAAAGAGATTAAATATTTCCATCTAGTGAAGCGCTCTCTCTTGTGTACAGAAGCATCACATTTTTCATAATGGAGATATGAATTTTGTGTCTTAAAAATGTTATCTTTATTCCTTTTCTACTTATTTATCAATATTAATTAGAGTCATCTACCAAGAGAAAAATAACTACAACATTATTCTACATTCCTCCTGGCTTTTGCAGGAACTGCTTTAAAAAGTGTTTAGTATCTTATGAATGTATCATTTTCAAATGAATGTAATGGATATTCATTAAAATGCAGTTTATGGACATTTGTTGCAAATCACTCAATATTCTTTGGATTCACCAAGAGTAATATACTCATTTGAATTTCTGCAGCAGCTTCACACTTTTATGTATACTTTTCTTTATGTTTTTGTTTTGAATAAAATAGTGATTCGATCTTCTTTGTAATATTTCTGTGGTTAACACAATTTTCATCTTCTTTGTTTTGTGAAAATTGTACCAACAGACATTTGTGCATCTGAAGATAAATAATTACACATTATTCTAATAAATGTCACACACATTAACACATAAAGGTCAGAATTTAAAACACATCTTCTGACAAATGGACTGTCATGATCACTTTCTTGAAACAAAAAACATCTTTGAATATACAGGCATACCTCGGAGATATTGCAGGTTCGGTTCCAGACCACCGCAATAAAGCGAGTCACACAAATTTTTGGGTTTCCCAGTGCATATAAAAGTTATGTTTGCATTATACTGTAGTCATTGCGAGAATTACCAAAATGTGACACAGAGGCACAAAGTGAGCACATGCTGTTGGAAAAATGCCCCCGATAGACTTGCTTGATGCAGGGTTGCCACAAACCTCCAATTTGTAAAAAACGCAATATCTGCAAAGCGCAATAAAATGAGGTATGCCTGCACATTAGTAAATTCAAGCTAAAGACTAAAGTCAAGTGCACTACTATAAGTTCCAAATGCTTATTACCATTTGCTCAAAATTTGTATACAAACTGTACCTACAGTTTGCATTCATTCTCGTGTTAAACATATTTGGTAATGGTATAAAACACCTTTAATTGCTTTGTACACATCAAAATTACAAAAGCTTACTGAGATTGGTTGCTACAGTGGTGATGATTTAAAAATGGAAGAATATTTACAAGGAAACAACCTTCAATTCTTCCACAATTCATCTCTAAAACATCAATTAAAAATTTCAATCTCACAGACTTTTTAAATTTATTTTCAAAGCAGATTCTAAATTGACCTTTGCAATATTGTTTTCCTCTTTTGACACTTCAGGATGGATGCACATCTGGTCCCGAGAACCGAGAACTGCTACCTTTGTGTTCACATAGCCAGTTTTCTTCAGCTCCTGAATAGCTTGTGACAACTGCGAGTGTGTCCGCGAGGCATAGATAATCTGTGTACTGCCTAGAAACACAAAGGGTACAGGTCTTTAAAAAGTCATCACGTTATTAATCTCTCTTCACAATGAGTTCAGGTATTTACTCATTACATTATTAAACTATGAGATTGGATACAACTCTATATGACTAATTCCACGAGCCATTTCTTCAGAAGCTTACAGTTGCTTAGAATGTAAAATAATTCCATGGATTTTCTGGAATCCAAAGGTTTACTACGATATTCACAAAAGCATGTTATTGAACCCCATCCTAAATCAAGTTAAACCAGTCCATATCCTCAAACTGTATTTCTATGAGATTAATTTTAATATTATTCTCCCATGTATACATTGATTTCAAAAATAAACTCTTGTATTCAGGCTTTCCAACCCCTTCCATGCATCTTATTTATCTCTTCACATTCGAGACGATCAGCTTAGTTTTTTCTTGTGAACATTACAAATCACTCAGCTTCTCATTAAGCACCTTATTTTCTTCAGTCTCTTCTGCAACCCCATGGCAAAACTACCAAAAAATTGCTAAAAGAGATGGACATTCTATTACTGAGGGAAATGTTTTTCTCTCCATTACATTCTGTTAACATGTATCACCCATGCAATACAGTTTATGCAAAATCCAGCTAGCCATGTGTCATAACAGTGTACAGCCCACCATTACAGAGGAACACATCTCCATCTTCAGGACTAAAACAAATCTACTTATGTGTTCATTACTACCCAGAAAACCAGCATACCTTGATAATTTACATGTCCCAAATTATCTCAAAATTAGCACAGATAAAGAAGATATTACTAACAAGAACAAAATTTATATGTATAAATATCATGCCACTATGGCCAATCCACTTTTGTACAAAGATAACTGACTTCTGGGTTGTTGCACCATGTAGTCTGGTAAACTTCTACCAGGCTACATGGCGCAATGACCCAGAAGACAGCCATCTTCAGACTCACCACCATGAAAACCTCAAATCCTACACTTTTGTACACTTTAATTTCCTGTCATCGGTTGTAACAACATAGCGGCTAGAACAACTTATGACATGGGACTAGTACTGTGCTTATTATAGGGCTCTACAATTCTTTAAAATAACATGGAACCTTAGTCTATATAATTCTTTTTTGTAAACAATGAACATGATGGCTGCATAAAATCTGTATTCAACTTTCTGCTTGATGACAATAACTAATGATAATGATCAATGTTATATGATATTTTTATATATTAATTAAAAATATGGTAATGGTGCAGAACTTTGAAATCGTGTTAAGCAAATTTCAAGTTCAAAATATGAATAAGTGAAAATTATGCACAGAAATTAATCACTAAATTTTACAGTTACTAATATGAAGTACATCTTCACCTCTTCTTTGTTTCTTTGGCGCAACAGCCTGACCTTCAGCCTTGGCCTCCTCCCATGTGGGAGGTTTCTTAGCCTTGGAAGAGTGCATTTATGAGTAGTGAGTGACAAGCCCACTGCCTCAGCACAATTTCTACTCAATCCTGATTTGTCTGCTAGAGCCATCTAGCAGTGAATCAGGAGAGACTTGGGTGAGAAATGGCTACTAAATTTTGCTTACAAAACATCTTGTTCATGCTCGTAAGATTCTTTTACATGCTGTAAATCTACGACATGGGATCGCCGGCTTTACTTTTCCTCCGAAGGAAGTTGTGCTACGAACTTTTACTTTTTCACCTCACCATACCAATTAAGAGCATTTGAAACTATGTCATAAGTTTTTATAAATGATCATCTCCAATTGAATATACTGGAGGTTACCAGAATCCCATGATGAGGCACCAGTCCTAGCTGTGTTCACAGGGCCTGCTGCCTCCCTCAGTTTATTCTGCAGCCCAGTCACAAAGGCACCATCTGGAAGATTGTACAGTCCTAGGGACTCTGCCTGTTGCTGGGCCTTCTTTACGGTAAGCCAGCTAAGAGAAGCACATAACAGGCTCAGAGTTTTGCCTGTGCCTGTTGGCGACTCCAACATCCCATTCACTCTCTGAAATTGAACAACTGGTCTTTCTAATCAGCATCTTCTCAATTTGCTTTACAGCATTCAAAGTGTAACAGCACTGATCATATAATTTAAAATTAAAATAAACAAAACTAAGGAATGTTGATATTTTTACCATACTGTGGTCTTCTGGGATATGACACCAGTCTTATACGTGGTTATCAACATTCCAGAGAACATACAACCACTACATTTGAGGTAGTGTACCTTCAAGATGGAGGCAGTATGTTTCTCTGAAACACTAGTAACCACCTATATATGACTGCATGGTCAGGAGGAGAAGACCAGAACCCGAAAGAACACAACTAACTAACTAACTAGATGGCTTACCGAACCTGAAGGTTCATCACCCCGTCCTGGGCCAACAAAATCCAATCTCCTTCAACTCCTATCTCTCATAGATCCCACCTGACATTATCCTCCCATCTACGTCTAAGTCTCCCCAGCAGTCTCTTCCCCTCAGGCTTCCCAACCAATACCCGGTGCACACCTCTTGTACCATGCATGAGAACTACATGCCCCGCCCATCTCATTCTTCTTGACTTAATCACCCAGACAATACTGGGGGAGGAGTACAAATGTTTAAGTTCGTCATTATGTAGTTTTCTCGTGGTCCTCCAGCTTGGGGGTTAGGCGTATGGCCAACAACTTTTCAGCATAAAAAAAGCATTGTTACGAACATATTAGCCAAGCCTCGGAGAGAACACAACATTAATGCATTTTCATACTGCTCGGTATAAATATTATCACGAGATCTCTCCATCTTGGTACATTGTAATTCCCTACAGCAATAC